GTAAATGTGGAAATTTTATTTTGTAAATTGTATTCATGCACAGAGGTGTAGGGAAAATACCGTTAAATTTTCAAATTTTAAATTTAAGAGCGCTTTAAGTTAACAAAATCATTGGCAGTCCCTGTTTACAAGAGAGTAAAAAAACTGCTCAGTGTGGAACAGATTTTCTAATCAGGATTCATATATTAATTACCTTGCCTTGCCCCAGTTGTTTGTCTTTATTGCCTTGCATTAAACCAGGTTCATATATTTACTACTTTACCTTACTCCAATGTGCTTATATTTAATACCTTACCTAAGGTGTGTATATTTACTACTTTGCCTTGCCTCAGACGCATATGTTTCCTATATTGGCTTACTCTATGTGCATATATTTACAATATTACTTGACACCAGGTGCATATATTTATCCCCTTACTTTACCCCAGGTGCATATGTTTACAACATTGCCTTACACCAGGTACACATATTTACTACCTTACTATATCCCAGGTGCATATATTTAATACCTTGCCTTATACCAGGTGCACATATTTACAACATCTCCTTACCACACGTGCATATATTTACCAGCTTAATTTACCCCAAGTGCTTATATTTACACCTTTGCCTTACCTCAGGTGCACATATTTACTACATTGCCTTACCCCATCGTGGGATTGTAGCAAAGAGAAAACAGCAGAAGCAGATAATAATAATAATAATAATAATAATAATAATAATAATAATAATAATAATGCCAAAACGAGAAAGCTACTCACTTGCTATCGCATGCATCATCCCAAAGCTGATGTCGACCGTCTGTATGTGCCCAGATCCGAAGGAGGCAGAGGATTAGTTCAACTAGAACTGTCCTACAAAACTACAACAATTGGCCTCCAAAGATATTTGAAAACTACAGAAGACTGGATGATGGTATGCGTCAAGGAACATGAAAGTAGTAAGCGTCTCTACTCCGTAATGAAGGAAGCCAACAAATTCAAAATGGAGTTCCAAATGGGCGTAGAGATGCAACTACAGCACAATACACCGGCTGAAACTGCAAAATACCTAAAAAGATAGCTAAGACGAATGCAACCGACCAGTTACAGAAGCGATGGCAAGATAAACCGCTTCATGGCCAATACTCTGCCCGTACCAAACAAGCTGACGTAGACAAAACCCGTACCCATCAGTGGCTACGTAGTGCAGGGTTGAAAGCGGAAACTGAAGGTTTTATCCTTGCTGCGCAGGACCAATGCTTGCTAACTAGGAATTATCAAGCACATATACTAAAATATTGTGTCAGCCCCAAATGCAGATTCTGTGATAAATATCCAGAAACGATTGATCATATTGTATCAGGTTGTACGGTGTTGGCACCCACTGAATATAAAACCCGACATGACAGAGTGGTCCAATATCTGCACTGGAAAATCTGCAACTTCTACGGGAAGAAAACTGAAAGAAACTGGTATGAACACCACCCAGACCCGGTTACGGAGATAGGGCCTGTTACAATTCTATGGGATTACACAATACACACTGACAGAACAATCAAGGCCAACCGGCCAGATATTGTTATTAAAGACCACAAACAAAAACGGTGCCTCCTTATTGATATGGCAGTCCCTGCTGACTGCAATGTATCTTTGAAGATATTCAAAAAGTTGTCAAAGTACAAGGACCTTGAAATAGAAATCTCGAAAATGTGGCATATGGGAACATCAACAATCCCTGTTGTAGTTGGAGCCCTAGGACTGGTTGGAAAAGATTGCAGTAGACTAATTGAAGGGATTCCTGGAGGTCCATGCCTCAAGGAGATACAAAAAATTGTTCTGACAAGTACAGCCCACACCTTACGAAGGGCTTTATCTATGTAATTTAAATTTTTTTTTTTTTTGTCAGTGGAAAGTGTCATGACGCCATTTCTAACCATAGGTCCCTCAAGGGACCCGGAAAGAAATGTGTAAACGCCAGAAATCAAAGAAAATGATAATAATAATAATAATAATAATAATAATAATAATAATAATAATAATTGAAATCGAAATCTCAAAAATGTGGCACATGGGATCATCAACAATCACTGTTGTAGTTGAAGCCCTCGAATTGGTTGGATTCCAGTAGACTCATTGAAGGGATTCCTGGAAGCCCATGCCTTAAAGTGATACAAAAAATTGTTCCCACGATTACAGCCCACACCTTACGAAGGGCTTTATCTATGTAAAATATATATGTGTGTGTGTGTTTTTTTTTTGTTTTTTTTTAATTGGTCAGTGGAAAATGTCATGATGCCATTTCTAACCTTAAGTCTCTGGGCGGGACCCGGAAAGAAATCTGTACACACCACAAATCAAAGGAAGAAGAAGAAGAAGATGAAGAAGAAGAAGAAGAAACAGCAGCAGCAGCAGTAACAACACCAACAACAACAACAGCAGCAGCAGCAGCAGTTCGGTTATTAAGTAGAAAATTGATTTATTAAGCTGAACGAACTTTTTGACCAATCCAATACTTTAAAAATCATTCTCTTGGAGAGAAGAAGATGCTAACGATGTTGCAAGTTATCGTTTCTCATGTTCGAACACGGGCATTGATTTATTTAAACAATCTCTTTTATTCATGAAACAGTTAAAAAACAAAAGTTCCAAAGCAGATCGCATCGGAAAAAAAGGCGGGAACAGTTAAATACTAACACCTCAGGTGCTTGTCTGTTTAACAGCGTTAAGGAAAATTAGAAATATTTTAAAGAAAATCTTCTCTCACGGGTCAATAGATTAGTTAAATTAAACTAAAACGTTAGGTCGTGAATTTGGTGAAAGTAATTATGAGTTCAATCCCTGGTCTTGGACTCAGTGGAAACACAACGAGCAATAACTGAACAGCTGTAAAAAGAGACAAGCCGAGATATCTCTAGAACGAGAACAATCTACCACTATAAATGAAATAAAGGGTTTCATTTCGAAATTCTTTGAAGTTATCCTAGTCGAGAGACACCTGAAGAAGACCGGATGACATAACGGCCGAAAGATGGAGAAATTAGTCCGAACGTACATAAACGAAATAAATGTATATTTTACATATAATGAAAAGATTATTAGAAACATTGGTGATTTAATTCAATGTTACCCGTGTGAGTGCTGAAAAGTTCGTGGGCTGACTCTTTTAGCAAAATCTGTTAACATGAAATTTAATTAATGTTTTTAAATCCATTAGTCGGGCTGAAAATTTTTCAGCACCCCTTCGTATTAAAGATATATAAAGATAGGTTTAAGGCTTCCGATGATCAGTGAGTCTTTCTCGATTTTTGCATTTTTAATAATTACTAGAACTTTTTTTGCAACACGCATCAACATGTTGAAATCCTTACAGCAGTATTTTTAGTATCGTTGAAATTATCGCTAACAATTTTTGATCGAGATTTACAAACACAACGTTTCGTTCAATTTTGCAAACCAATCGATGAAATTTGAATAAGTTGATTTGTTTGGAAAATACCTCGACAAAAACTCTATTACACGTTTTAATAATTTATTTTTATAGGACTTCATAGTAAGCAATATTTTAAAAAAAAATCTTTTCTTCCTTTTTAACAGCGAAGAATAAATTCTTAGGATTCCTTGCTCTTGAACATACAACATACAACTATTCATGCGTAAATATTTCTTTCTGGAGCTAAATTAGAACTTTTTGAAACGTTTGGCCTTGTGATTTGTTTATAGTTCTTGCAAACATTCCATGGTAATTTAGAGGTGTATGTTAGATGGCGGGATATACGGCATCTATCTATCTATCTATCTATCTATCTATCTATCTATCTATCTATCTATCTATCTGTGAGTAAGTATGTGCGTGTAGGCACTCGCGTTTATGTCCATATAATGACTGCATACATGCATATATAACATATCTATATATAAACATGTTTGTACATTTATGCAGTAGTGTGTATACGTGCTTGTGTGTACGCGTGTGTGTAATAATATATTTTTCATAGCAAACACAACAACGAGTCAGAATTACTTTGAAATAAAAACGAACGAACTCAAGGTAGTTTTCTTTGTGAGATCTGTCCATTTGGTGGTTTTTCCATTCTGTTTGAAAACTAGATCCTTGTATAAATAAAAAATTAAAGAAAAGATATGCAAAAACAATATTGCATTTTTATTAAATAAGTATTTGTTATTTTAATATTTAAATTGTTTTTAAAATAGTGGGAGTATTTTGTATGTTAAATGATAAAACTTTTAAGTTAACTTTTTCCAAAATATTAATGAAAATGTATTGCACTAAGCTACGCATCCTAGTAAAAGCAAATGTACTTTGTACCCCCTTATCTGTTTGCACTTCTCCCCCAAACTTGGTTTCAATTGGTCAATGTATGGCTATTTTTTTCAGACCAACGGAAGTCACAGAATTTTTATATATAGATTGTCATAAAAGAAATTCTCCGCATTTTTTAATAAGTTAAAAATCCACCCCTTTTGCATTCTGTTTTGTGGACTCAAACATGATCGGTGTTACTGTTGGCAGACATTTTTGAAGACATTTCTAAAATATGAAATCAGATTAAAGATTGTTGATTTTCTACATTTCGTCTAGAGACGAGTGAACTTTTTTTCTTTTTTTTTTTGTTTTCTTATTAGTTCAAGCTAATCAGGATTTAATTGATAAATTATTGAAATAATTGCACTTCTACAAACAATATAAATAATGAATGAGAAAGAAAACCAATGCACTTTTAGGATTACTTATGCACGATGTAATATTGGATGTAAGCTCAGAAACTTTATTGTTTTTTTTAATCAGTCATCATTATAGTTGTTCTATTTTAAATCAAATTTTTATTGCATAAAAAATCTGCAGAAAATATAATCTTTATATAAATATTTATTATGCGTTTGCTTGCGTTCTCGGCTTAACTATAAGTGTTGTTGTGTCAATATAAAGCTTAGAATGCCTGAATGGAAAGAAAGCGTCATTCTTGCGTGTTGAGTCACGCATAGACGCACAGACATTTTCTGAATTCAAACTAGTAAAGAAAAAAAAAAAAAAGAAAAAAGGCACAAACCAATTATATATATAATCGTTATTTTTAGTGGGTACAGCTGGATTTTAATTTTTTAAACAGTGAAATTACTGGTTTACATCGAGAAGTCTTATTAAAGAAAACTTATGCCTACCGACAGGAATCGAAACTGTATCACTTTTCTCACCAGGAAAACCGCTCGAGCCAGGCTAATTAGACTACCTCGAGCGGATTCCCTTTACTGTATTTTTGTTTAAGAAAATTAAAAAAGGATAGCAACTCAAATAAGAGTATCTAATAAAAAATAACGTTGTATAAGGGATAACGATATACATTTTTCAAGAACAGTTTTAAAAGAAAAACATTTATTCATTAATTAAAATTTTTTAGTAAATCTCCTTTGACAATTTGACAATAATAAAAGCAATTAATCGATTTCTAATCCAACATTATTTATATTTAGTGGATGTACGTGTTTGAGTTTTTATGTTATTTTATTTTTACAAACATTGTAATTGGAATGTTTTATTAAAGAAGATGTGTCACTCAGTCGGCGTCACAGGTTCGGTTCTCAACAAAAGCCGCATTTTCTCTTTCGCTACGACTACGCACACCCATAGGTACAGACAGACACGCACACAGATAACTATTTACTATGCTTGCGTGTAGGTGTGTTTACACGCACGCACGCACGCACATAGGATGTGTTTCTGAGAAATAAAACATTACAATTGCAATCTTTATAAAAATAAAAAATAATATAAAACTCAAACACGTATATATATATATATATCTTATATATATATATATATATATATATAGATAGATAGATAGATAGATATATAGATAGTGTCTTGAGGAGGCAGATCATTATTTAAACATATATTGTTAAATATAACAGACAATGAATGTCTATTATGTCTGATCATGAGCCGTTCTAATGTTCGAAAATTTGCTTTAATTTCGGGTGAAAATAAAGACAAAAATTGTCCAACATTTGGATATTTTTTTTATTAAGTTGGTCCTTGATCTAAGCTTTCGGCCCACATGAGCCATCTTCAGAGTTGTTATACGAACATTTTAACAACGATATTCAACATTGAAGACAATATTGTCTGTTATATTTAACAATATATGCTTAAAATTTAAAATATATATATATATATATATATATATATAGTCTTAAGGCGTGCTATATTTATGGGATAAAGTGCTCGATATCAGAGATAGAACGTGTAATATAGTGAATATAGTCAACACTTAGAGGCCTCTATGTTGACTTCTATGTTCACTTATATATATATATATATATATATATATATATATATGTGTGTGTGTGTGTGTGTGTGTGTGTGTGTGTGTGGCGAGCCCTCACTGCTCTATCGTTACTACCATGGAAAGCGCTCGGACGAACTACATTCTTTGGTTCCACTAGGTTTAACCTTCACGGCAAGGACCCGGCATGCCACTTACACAGTAGCAAACCACTCACATTCCCTTCGCATTCCGTCGGTGAGAATTAAATTCCACTCGAGCAGCTTCTTTCCTCGAACCACTGTTCTGCGGAACCGACTCCCGATATGATATTTCCTCGATCACTTTCAATCTTAACCTGTTCAAGTCTAGTGTTAAACGTTATCTCCCCTTCCTATCTGCATAAACTACCTCTTAAACATTCTACCACGAGTGGAGTCTGGGCCTTATACAGAGTGAACTTTACTGTAAAATATATATATATAACTTTTAATTAGTAAGTTCATAATCCTTATGAATATCTATTTATTAATCAATTCATTTTCCATTAATATATCAGAAAACGTGAGTCGTAATCGATTTTAGATCGGTCTCCCTATCTTGATCAGATAGGATTCTAGAACTCTGTGTGGTCGTGAATGCAATTTGCTATATTTGCGTCCAATGCCGTCTGTACAAACACACATAAGGAACAAATCAACTGCACCAACACACTCACAGTTGTACATATAGACACGAGCACACATTATTATTTTTTTTTTTTTTTTTTTACTATTTTTTAAAATCCATTATTAAATTCATTTTCTGGCCGTTTAACATGATATTCACGTGAATCACGTTTGTATAAATTTTCAGCAGTTTTAAAACTGTCACTCATTTAAGAAATGAATACGTCTATCTACCAGATTTGCCACCATATAATGTGCATGCATTCCTCCCAAATACCCTCCAATATATTGCGCTTTACACACCAGTGGTTGGATTATTGGTACTACTAGCTGAAGAACACAGAATAAAAATATATATGATTATAAGTAATTAGATAAGGATTAGAAATCAGAATAATGTCCACTCTAAAAGAAACGGACATATGTTTAAGTAGGAATGAAACATCAGTTCATTATCATTAGAGTTATCTAAAATACTCCTTGGCAATTTAGAGGTGTATGTTAGATGGCGGGATATACGGCATCTATCTATCTATCTATCTATCTATCTATCTATCTATCTATCTATTT